AAAGGCACAATGCTTATTTCTGAAAACATAATATTAAGAATTTTTTTCTATGTTCTGGAAATCAAGTGCAATTTACTATCTACACATAGAATTGTGCATCAGATCAATTGTCTTGTTGTTTTTGACAAATCTGGGTGTGATTTTAGGGACATGGCTTTGGCGGAGATGATTAGCAATGCCAAGGAGTGGCATGGACTCTATTATCTTCAAGGAACCCCACCAAAAGCACATATTTCTCATGTCTTTACTTCTATGTCTATGGATGATGTGCAGTTGTGGCATTCTAAGTTAGGCCACCCTAGTCTTAGCTGCTTGCGAACTTTGTTTCCCAACATTAGTAAGAAAATCATTGCTGATTTCCATTGTGAAACCTACCATTTCGCCAAACAAACTTGCAATTCTTTTCCTAGTCATTCTTACAATCCAACTAAGCCATTTACTCTCATTCATAGTGATGCATGGGGTCCATCTAAGATTGAAACTAATTCTAAAGCTCGCTAGTTTGTTTCATTTATTGATGATCATACTCGGTTAACTTGGATCTTTCTTATGAGGAATAAATCCAAAGTCTTCTCCATTTTCAAAACTTTCTACATGTTTGTTGATACTCAATTTCACACTAAAATTCTGATTCTTAAGAGTGATAATGGAAAGGAGTATTTAAATTCTCAATTTACAGAATTTTGTAGCGTACATGGTTTACATCACTAGACATCTCTTGCTTATTCTCCACAACAAAATGGTGTTTCTGAAAGAAAAAATAGGTGTCTTATCGAAGTTGCTCATGCAATCATGATGCACAGCAATGTGCCTAATAGATTTGGGAGGATGTTCTTACCACTGCATATTTAAAAAACCAAATGCCTTCCAAACCTTTAAAATTTTCCACTCCTCTTCAGAGATTTCTTGAAAATTTTCCTAATTCTCCATTAATTTCATCCATTCCTCCAAAGGTGTTTGGCTGTACCGCTTTTGTTTACAATGAAGGAGGAGGCAAACTTGATTCCCAAGCTTTAAAATGTATTTTTCTGGGATATTCTTCCTCTCAAAAAGGGTATAAATGCCTTTCTCCTTCCAATAATAAAGTTTATGTGACTATGAATGTCAAATTTATTGAAGATCAGCCAATTTTTCCAAATCACCCATTCAGGGGGAGATGACTTCTGAGATTTCTAAGTATGAATGGAACATTTGTGAAACCTAGCAAGATTATTTCGCTAATTCTGACCAGCATGAGCCGCATACTCCTCAATCAGACCTATTTTTCCCTTCTGCTTCACCTTCTGAATCGGGAAAAAGCCCAGAAAATCCTCATTCCCTACCCATCAGCATTGATTCTTCACCCGCCAGGTCTAGATATCAAGATATTAATCCTTCTAAGCCTTTGAACCTCATTTCTGATACAAATTCAGCTAAGACTATGGTGGAAGAACCTTTAAATGCATCTAAACAGCAACACAGTGGGTATGAGTCCATTGCTACAACAAGGCAAAGTGAAGAGTCTGCACCTGAAGCAAGTCTTGAAGACTTACACTGGCTGATTGCCTTAAGAAAAGAAAAAAGGAGTTGCACTCAACATCCTATTGGTAGGTATATTTCATACAAGAAGCTGTCTCCTCATCTAAGAACTTTTGTTGCTAATGTTGAGAAGATCAAGATACCCAATAGTTACGAAGAAGCTATGGCAGATCCAAAATGGAGGGAAGCTATTGATGAGGAACTATAGGCTCTTCACAAAAACAAGACTTAGAACCTTATTGAGCTACCTAAGGGAAAGTCAATTATAAGCAGCAAGTGGGTTTTCACAATCAAGTATAATCCAGATGGAACGATCAATAAATACAAGGCTCAACTAGTCGCTCGAGGGTTCATGCAAACCTACGGTATTGATTACCAAGAAACCCTTGCTCCAGTAGCTAAACTTAACACTATTAATGTTTTGTTATCTATTGCTACAAATTTGGATTGGCCATTATATCAATTGAATATTAAAAATGCCTTCCTGAATGGTGATCTCGAGGAAGAAGTATATATGGAGGTTCCTTAGGTTTGACGAACGCAGGAAACTTAAATAAAATTTGCTGACTCTTCAAATCTCTCTATGGACTAAAATAGTCTCCAAGAGCTTGGCTTGCAAGTTCAACCAAGCAATAAAGAAACAAGGATATACTCAATGCCAAGCAGATGATACCCTATTTGTGAAGAACTGTGGTTCAAAAATCACTGCTCTTATTGTATATGTGGATGACTTTGTCCTCACAAGAAATGATGCTAAGGAGATTGCAAACTTAAAGGAAAACCTTGCTGCTGAATTTAACATCAAGGATCTTGGTAATCTGAGATACTTCTCAGGCATGGAAGTAGCCAAGACCAAAAAAGGGATTAGCATGTCTCAACGCAATTATGTTATTGATTTCCCAAAAGAAATAGGAATGTTAGGGGCTAGACCGGCACACACACTATGGAGCATAATCAAAAATTAATGATTAGGCAAGATGTTAAAGCAATCAATAAGGAAAGATATCAGAGGTTGGTGGGAAAATTGATATATTTGTCCCACACAAGACTTGACATATGCTATCCTATAAGTATGGTAAGTGAGTTCTTTTGTAGTCCCCAAACTAAACATATGCGAGCTGTGTATCAAATTCTCAGGTACCCTGAAGAAAACACCAGAACAAGGCATGTTTTTTGAGAAGGGTAACTCTAGAAGCATAGAGATGTTCACTGATGCAGATTGGGGAGGTTGAAAAAGTGATAGACGCACCACTAATAGCTATTGCTCTTATGTGTGGGGTAATCTTGTGACATGGAGAAGTAAAAAGTATCCTGTTGTATCAAGAAGCTCAACAAAATCTGAATATCGAGCACTGTGCTAGGAGCATGTGTAGGAATGTGGCTTATCAGATTCTTAAGAGAATTGAAGATGGATGTAAACTCTCTAATCAAGGTGTGGTGTGATAACATGTCAACCATAAAAATTGCCAAAAACCCGATCCAACATGATTGAATGAAGCATGTAGAGATTGATCGGCACTTCATTGGGGAGAAAATTGAAAACAAAATAATTGATTTAGCATATATTCCTTCAGGTCAATAGATTGCCAATGTGATGACAAAATCTTTGACACAAGACAAGTTCAAAGAATTTAAAAGCAAGCTAAGAATGATTAATATCTATTTACCAACTTGGGGGGAGTATTGGAAGTGGGCTTGCTTCTCTTGGGCCCATTAGAAACAGTCTAACCTAAGTTACCCTATATAACCTGATTTCAGGATATTTCCTACTTACTTTTATATCTCCAAATATTTGATTTTCTCCTATTTAGATATATTTTGTCTAATACAATCAGATTCAATCATATCCTTGGTCTCTATATATGTACTCTGATTCTCAATGAATAAAGACAAGAAACTCTACGCAAACAATCTCACTCTCAAACTGATACACAACTTCGTATATTAATCACAGTCTCATCATGATCATAGGTTTTATTGTAAAGTGCCTACTAGCATCTATTTGTGGCATTTTTCATATTTTATTTTGAGGTTTTATTACCCTACATCTAACAAAATCTCAAAGTGAATGATATTTCTTAATAGTTAATTATTAATAAAGCATAATGACATCGTGCAATTCATGTGACCAATATCACTTAGTGGAATAAAGCTTGCTGCTTCTATTGTTGTATTCCCCTGTGAATTAGTTATGTATTTGGCTAGAGCCATCTTATTTAAGAGTTACATATTGTAGTTGAAGTAGCAATTGGATAATTCAGTTGCAGTAACAATCTACTCTCCTTTTATCTCGTTGTATGTGCACACAATTTCTATGCAATTAACAAGTTCAGAAGACTGACTTCCCTTGTACAACAAAAACAATAAGTTTTATCCCACTAGGTGGGGTTGGCTACATAAATTGCACGAAGCCATTATTAACTTCCCTTATATTTTATCTTAATTATAGACCTCTCCTTTAATTTGAAAACCTATAGACTTCCTCTGAAATTGAAAATTATATCACACAATCCTCCCCTTTATTTTCAATATTCTATTTCCATCTACCTAACCACTAATCTGCTTTTAAAAAAAAAAGAAATTAACCTCTTTATTATATTAAAATATCCTTTCTTGATGAATATATTTATTTAGTTACTCCCTCCATTCAAAAATGTAAGGCATTTTTAACTGAATCTCACCCCCCAATAAAGTACTTACTTCAAACTAACCCTATCTTTTCATATTTACCCCTATTAAATACCCTATATTAAATATAAAGTCATTATCAATAAAGGTATTTTTGAAAAAAAGGCAATGATTACACCTTGAAAGACTAAAAATACCTTACATTATTGAACATCCAACTCCTCAAAAAATACCTTACATTTTTGAACGGAGTGAGTATACTTTTAGTACATTTTTCAACTTAACTTTCAATTTGACATATTATCTATTTTATTAATTTTTATTTTAATATTTATGAAAAAAAATTATTTAAATATTACTATACTTAATTATTTAAAATTGTTTAAACTATAGATGGGGGAGAAAGAGAGGATAGACCACTAAGTTATGAGATTAGATTAATAACTTTACATTTTTTTAATATAGAAAACAATCAATAAGAAAAGAGCATTTTAGGATCTGTAAAGGTGTATTCTTAATAATGCTAAAAATTAGACCAAAATGTAGATTTTGAAAATAGAAAAAAGGTTCCTACAACTTTAGCAAAACTAAAAGGAGGTAAATGTATTTTTCTATATTTTATACCTTATTAATTTAAAAAAAGACGATAGGATGCAATACTCTTACATCAGAAAAACAGAGAGGGAAGGAAATTAAGAATTCCACTACTTCGCAAACAATAAACATAGCCAGATACGTGACATAAAGGTGTGCACCGTCACAAGCTGACAAAAACAGGATACATAAACTATGTCGTGCATTAAAGTAAAAGACAAATCAAAATTGAAGATAAGTTGTAGAAGAAAGCAACATACCAAAAGAAGCTGTAGCCCAAGGGGACAAAGAAGTAACAGTATATCACATCTGAACACAATAGTCGCAAAAATCTGATCATCAACAAACATAACAAAATATTAATTCAGAGATGTCAAAGAGCTTTACCAACATTAAGTATTAAAGATAAAATGTAACATATTTAATTATGAAAAGCAAAACATCAAAATTGAAATTTCATGGAAACTTATGTAAGATACATGCGCAAACAAAATCTATAGATAAATAGGCAAATCACAAATTTATTATTTCAAATAAAAAGAAAAAAGAGTTGATAAGTTCATCGACAGCTCAAGCATCATCCCCAGTACCAGCATTACCTGTATCTTCCATTCTCCCTCTTCAATTAAAATAAAATTCATCCCTAATGGGGTCAAAGTTATCTAATTCACAGTTACATTATTCAAACATGTCTCTTGTTCACAAGCAACACAGTAGTAATTCTTTCACCATCTAATTCAATCTGCTCTCCAATACAATCATTTTCAGTCATCATTCATCATCAGACAGAGGATCAAGATGTCAAAGTCACAGCCTGCATTATTCTGTTTCTTTCCTACTCTTTGATTCAAGTCCAACATCACAAATTTTGGACCTTTCACCTTCCTTGGGGCGACATGAATATGGAAAAAAAAAACAAAAAACAAACAAAAAATCCAAAAAATTAAAAAATAAAAGCCTTACCAATAAGTTATCAAGCCCGTCTCAAGAGGTAAAAAGCTACTTTCAGACAATAAACATCAAATTCATTCCAATCAAAAACTCCCCTTGACATCAAACCTCTGCACTTGCCTTTAATTATAGGATATCTCCACAAAAGCTTAAAAAAAGAAAAAATCTATGGATTTGTTAAGAGAAACTGAGATGGTTGGAGCAAATACAGCAAAAACTCCCATGGAGACCCCTCAAAACCTTGGACCAAAGCAAGGAATACTTGTTGATATAGGAAGATGCCAGAGACTTGTAGGGAGATTGATTTACATATCCCGTACCCAGCCAAGTCAGTTTCCCCATAAGTGTAATGAGTCAGTTCATGAGCAAGCCACAAGAGGAATGCCAGGAGGCAATCTATAGAATTTTGAGGTACATAAAGATGATACCTGCCAAACGATTATTCTTTACTAAATGTAGCACCAAAAGTGTGGAAGTGTATACAAATCCAGACTATGCCAAATCAGTCACCTACAAAAGGTCTATTTCCTGGTATTGGTGAGTACCTGATCCATGTGAGGCCCATTAATGAGGCCCAACAACTAGCAGCTTTGTGTCTATTTTTGGCTATCTCTATTCCACTGATATTATGCCCTATTTTTTAGGAATTTTTTTTTTTCATTTGGTTTTGCTGAAAATATTTCCTATTTGCCTTCAGTATTTTATCTCAAATTCTTCAGGATAAGGAACGTGATAAAGTTGGGTCAAAGTTATGTAGGAAAGACAACGAGGGAAAAGGAAGTCTTTATTAGAATTCATAGTCCAACAAAGCTGAAGGAGAATCCCTACAATATCTGCATAATACGTCACATTTTTATTACGTCAGATCTTTTACACATGTATGGCATACAAGAAACTGGTCATAACTGGCTCATAACTAACTACTTTAATTAGTAACAGCACAACACCTGGCCTCCTACACACATGACAGCACATTAGTAAATAGACAACTTGTCACAACACACATCATAAACATCTGGCAACAAGTAAACAAGTTGGAAAGTACAAGGCCCAAGCCCAATACACAGTTTTACTTAGTCTCTCATGCGTTTATAATTTTTCCGTCTACTCCAGTATTTTTCATGATTATTTTTTGTTATGATCTATCTTATTAAGATAGATAGGGTTTTTGATTATTAAACTCATATTTGCCAAGATTGTTCATGGCAAATGACTAATAAAAACATATGCTCACTCAATGAATAAAGTTAGGGGGGAATAAGCTCTGTTTTTCCACAAAAAAAAGTTGTTCCCTTCATCAAAAGGCCTCTGACACTTTTAAGTTTCTTCTTTTACTGCAATATGTAAGGATGGGAGCATCATGTTTCAGAGGAATTCTATCAGAACGCTGCAAATTATGTGGCTTTCTCCCCTATTTGTGATTGCTTATAAATTAAAAAAAAAAAATCAAAGCTTCTAGAATATCCTGAATTGTTAACATTCAAGAGAATTAAATTAAGACTTTGCACATGATACCAAACTGTAACAACATGACATACATACCAAAGAGTTTAAAGCTGCATAGAAGTTCCCCTTTAACCAATATCCATATGCCAAATTGACTGCAAAGTAGAAGGTGCATCACCATGATGTCAAATGCTCACAAAATTTCTAGAAACAAGAATTCATATTGAGTAAAATGTAAGAAAAATCAGTTGAAAATTGAGAGGCGGAGGACCAGTAAAATTTTGAAAGAAGGTAGAATACAAAATATATTAGGCTTACCAATTTTAGAATCAGCACAATCAACAAAGACCATGTACCACAAACTCATTAAGATTTAGATTGCACATTTTGTTGAATATCCAATGCTAAGCGAACTGCAAAGTAAAATTCTCTCCTCTAAAAATGTTTCTTTAGAGACCCATATTCATAATGTTTAAATACCCATTTTATGGTCTAGGCAGTTGGCTTGTAGAGGTGGATTAGGTTTTCCACATCAAATCAATGCACAAAAATATAAATTATACTAATTATTATGCCTTGGTTCAGAATTTGGGAATTCAGGTTTAATTGTTAGTGAATACAGAATTTGGACTTTTTTTGTTTATAAGATGCTCATAATAACCCATTCTAGAAGAAAGACACCAAGGAAGACTAAGAATGTGGCAGATGTTACAAAGGCATGAGAGAGTAGAGTACAGACCAATGGAAGTTGAGGAAATGTAGGAATCAGTTTTAGCATTATGAGTCTGTTTTAGCTTTATGACTCAGCACTAGAGATTGTTGCAGTACATTCAAGTCTGTCGAGTCCATCTTTTGCTTTGTTCAGATATTCTTGCTGATTTTCTGATTGTATTTAATTATTTTAATGTTTATTTCTACATTACAAATAAGAAATACCTGAGTAAGATTCTTAAGCTTAAATGTCAGCTTCCAATTAAAATGTGGAGGGACAGCAAGGCAGCAATAAGCATTGCAAATAATCCTGTCCATCATGGCAGGACCAAACATGTGGAGATAGATAGGCACTTTATCAAAGAAAAACGAGCAGGCATTTTGGCTTTAGATTATGTTCGATCTCATTCTAAAGTAGTTGATCTTCTCAGCAAAGGCACTTTCCAGAAATTATTTTAACAAGCTAGGAATGCTCAATATATATTTGCAAGCTCAAGGGGGAGTACTGGTCTATTGGATGGCGTGTTGGGCCACATCCCATCCCAAGGCCCAATACATGGAGTTTTACTTAAGTTGTTTATTTTATCAGTCCTATGACATATCCCCAAGTTCAGATTTATTTTGATTATCGTGTATTGATATTATTAGATTTTATTTAGTGGGATACCAAAATGATATATACAGTTCCTGTATCTCTTTTCTGCATGAATAAAAGTTAAGCACTTTCTGGTTTATGAATCCTCCAACCAATAAATATAGGGTTATAAGGCAAAAATACCCATGAACTTCTTCTCCAAGGACATTCAGTATCCTGAAGTGAAAGACGGTGCAAGAATGCCCATAAAGTTGATAAACTGGGTGAAAAAGTGCCCAAACCATTAAATTTAATTAGCGTCAGTTAATGTTGACCAAAAAAAAAAAAAGAAGCAAACATAAAGTGCAAAAATAACCATAAACTTTTTCTCTGGGAGCTTCTAGTATCCTAAAATTAACAATGGTGCAAGGATACCTATTAATTTTATGAAATAGGCCAACCTTCCTCAATCAATCAAGTTCTATTCTTAGAACTTCATGGTCAACATCAAGTCATTTTAATGGATTGAGAAAGGGTAGATCCAATAATTTGGGTCGCCTAAATAAGCCTGAAGAAATTCGGGCCAAGCCCAAACCCGAATAGGTTAGCCCAAATGCCTAAATTCTTTTTTATTATTAATAAAATTAAATTAAAATTAGATTAAAAATTAAGAAATCTTAATTTTTAAGATACAAATTAAAATAGACCGAAAAAATAAAAAATAAAATAATATTTTACAATTCGAGTATTTGGATCGGCACAAATAAGCGGAAAACCCAAGTTGTTAGGACCGAGCTTAGCTATATGGCCTCTTTTATAAAGTTAATGAGTACCCACGCGCCATTGTTGATTTAAGGATAACAGAAGCTCCTAGATAAAAACTTTATAAATATTTTTGCACCTCATATTTGCTTCCATTTTTTTTTTAGCAGTCAATGTGAATAGACATTAGTCAAATTCAACGGTTTGGGCACTTTCGCATCCACTTCATTAACATTTTGAACACTCTTGCACCATCCTTCACTTAAGTATACTGGGTGCCCCTAGAGAAAAATTCATGGACATTTTTGCCTCTTAAACCATAAATATAAGACAAACTCAAACACTACATGGTAATTTTGTCATGTACTGCATTGTCAATAAACGATCCCTATGAATATCCAGCAAACGTGATCTGTCCCTTTGTATTGCAATGTAGTGTATTGTCAGTTATCTTTAGGGGGAAAACAGGAGCTAGGAAGTGTTGATGAGTCATACTCCAAGTACTTACCTATACCCAAAGCAAGTATGTTAGGAAGTGGGCGTGTAGAGTAGAACAGCAAGTGAAACTGAATTGCAGTAAATATCACAAAGAAGGCTTCTACTTGATGCCCATATTTATATCTTATCTGCGTAGGAAAGGAAAAAATGAAAGAGATTCGAGTCAACTTTCTTTGATCTTATTGAACATCATTTTGAACCCAAAAAAAAAAAAAAAAAGAAGCAGAGATTAATGAGGCAAAATAAAATGAATGCAGAAATCAAGCTATCCTCCAAAAGAGAAAATCTAAAATAAAATAAGATGAACAATGCATTGAAACCAAGTTGACCAATCTCTCTACATATCAGACAATGAACTCCCTTAAAAAACCATTAACCAGCACCCAAGACAAGTCACGAACAAAAGTTCACAACCCTATCACATAATATATGCATATGCAAAAACAAGAGCTCATTAATTTATTTGTTGGATAAGGGCCTAAGGCGCCATAGGCCCATATCAAGATTAGACCTATTTTTTCTTATTTAAATAAGATCTGCTATCTGCTATTAATATCTGATTTTATCTCTTATTAGCATCTGATTTGATTTGCCAAGATTATAGGAGAGATATTAGTGATTTGTATAGATTCTCTTCCTTTCATCTCTTCTATATATGTAAACACTTCTTATGAATAAAAGTCAGTGCTGTTCTACCCTAATAATAACATAGTATCAGAGCCTTGGTCTGTGATCGATGGCATATAGGGCAACTCTAACAAACCAGCCGTGAGTCTTCACCACAGGGGACGGCACAATATCATCGGCCAACGAAGACTCATAAGGTACTGGTTTGAATGTGCACAGCATGAACTCTCCCGAAGAGTTCAGGGAACGATTCGTTCTCGCAAGCTGTGATTGTTCATCGTCTTACTGGCAACAACTACCTCCAATAGTCGCGACATACTCTGATGTTTGTTCGAGGAAAGAATCGCAAGAAATACCTCACAGAGAATCCTCTAGCAATTACAAATGCAATGTTGGAGTCTTGGTGGGCAGAAAACAATATGGTCATGACCTGGCTCGTGAATTCTATGACTGTCAAGATTGGCGAAAATTACCTATTGCTAACTACAACCCAAGAAATATGGGAATCTGCGAAGCGCACCTACTCAGTCAAGGAGAACACAGCTGCCATTTTTCAAGTGAAACGATTGCTTCAAAATCTCTTGCAAGGAGAGCAATCTATCACTCAATATTATAGTGCTCTCATGAGGCTATGGCAACAAATTGACATTTACGAGGTCCATGAATGGACTTGCCAGAAAGATAGAGACTACTACAAAAAGATTGTTGATTGAGAAAGGTGCTATGAGTTTCTACTTGGACTCAATGACTCCTTTGAGGATGTTTGAGGACGTATAATGGGCATGAGGCCTCTTCCATCACTAGAAGATGCCTTTAACATGCTCAAATGTGAAGAAAGTCGAAAGATTTTACTCAGGGACATTCTACGCCTTCTTCTACTTCACTCGAAGGTTCTGCACTTGCTATCAAAGGAAATCAAGGAGATATGAAGGGTAAGAAGTCTAGAAGGCGTGATCACTGCAATAAAAAAGGACATACTCAAGAAACCTGCTGGAAGCTACATGGCAAGCCTTAGAATTTCAAACAGAAAGGCAAGGGACTGTCAGCGACCACAACAGAAGCTGAAATTGGGGGATTAAGCACTGAAGAGCTGCTGGTCTTAAGGAAAGTTCCAGAGAAACATTCTACATCTGCAAAAATATGTGAGAATAATACTCCTTCTGTGACTGTGGCACAAGCAGGTACAGCTTTAACTCAAACTTTTGATAGTATGAAAAAATCCAACAATATTTGGATCGTCGATTCTGGAGCATCTGATCATGTAACAGGTTTTAGGAATCTGTTTTCTAAATTTAGTGAATTTTCTAAGCATGAGACTGTTGAAGTTGCAAATGGACAGTCTGCTAAAGTATTTGGATCTAGCACTGTGATAATCTCTGAAAATATTGTGTTGAAGGATGTGTTATATGTACCTGAGATTAAGTGCAGCTTATTGTCTGTAAAATGTGTGGCATCTCAATTAAACTGTCATGCTATTTTTGACAAAAGTGGCTGTGATTTTCAGGACTTGGCCTTAGGGAGGATGATTGGCAATGCTAAGGAGAGGAATGCGTTCAACTATATCCATGGATCTTCATCAAATAAAAGTTATCGTGTTTTTTCTGTTATGTCTCATGAAGACTTAATGTTATGACACTCTAGGTTAAGCCATCCTAGTCCACATTATTTGCAATTTTTATTTCCAAATATCAATAAAGAGTTAGTTTCTGAATTTCATTGTGAGACTTGCCACTTTTGCTCTCATCCACAGTGATGTTTGGAGTCCATCCAAATTTGAAACAAATTCTAAAACAAGATGGTTTGTGACATTTATTGATGATCATTCTCGCCTGACTTGGATATTTCTAATGAAAGAAAAATCAAAAGTTTTCAATATCTTCAAAAACTTCTATGCCTTTGTTCAAAATCAATTCTAGACTTCCATAAAAATTCTTCAAAGTGACAATGGGAGGGAATATGTGAATCTGAATTTTCAAAATTTTTTGAAAGAAAAAGGCATACATCATCAAACATCTTGTGTTTACTCACCCCAACAAAATGGTGTGTCTGAAAGAAAAAACAGACATTTACTTGAAGTAGCTAGAGCTATTATGTTTGAAAGTCATGTTCCAAACAAATTTTGGGAGGATGCTATTCTTACATCTGCTTATCTTATAAATCACTTACCCTCCAAAACTTTAAATTTTGCCACACCCTTTCAAAAGTTTTCCTAACTCTCCTCTTACTACCAACATCCCTCAAAAGATTTTTGGGTGTACAGCTTTTGTTTATAACGAGGGAGCAGGAAATTGAATATTAAAGCCATAAAATGCATTTTCTTGGGTTATTCTTCCAGTCAAAAAAGGTATAAATGTTTTTCCCCTGTCACTAATAAAGTATATGTGACCATGAATGTTCACTTCCTTGAAAAACAACCCTATTACTCCAAATCACCCATTCAGGGGGAGACTACTAAGAATAAATCTGAGAATAAATGGCTGATTTGCAATGACCATCATAAATATTCCAAATCTGGGCAGAAACAGGACGTTCCCCATATATCACTAGATGACACCTTTGAACATACTGACTCCTTTGATTCTACAACCTTACCTCAATATACTGATGTTTCACCAAGAATCAGTTCAGATCCTCACCAAACAGACTCTACAAATTCTAGAATTCCAAAAACAGATCAGATTTTCAGGATGTTAATCCTTTTGAACCTCTTAGCCTGTTCCTTGATGACCTCGAAACTAGGGTGGAGGAACCTAATCTGGCTAGTGAACAGGACCATAATAGAGAAAGAGCTGAACCCATTTCTGTTCTGATGCAAAGCCATGACTTCACACCTGAGGTGAGTCTTGAAAACCTACAATGGCCTATTGCTCTTAGAAAAGGGAAGAGGAGTTGTACCCAGCATCCCATTGCAAGGTATGTTTCTTATAAGAAACTTTCTCCCCATATGAAGACATTTGTGGCGAATGTTGAACAAGTGAAAATTCCTAATAGTTTTGAAGAAGCTATAACTGATCATAAATGGAAGCAAGCTATAGATGAAGAACTAAGGGCACTTTACAAGAATCAAACTTGGAAGATCACCAACTTGCCAAAGGGAAAATTTGTCGTTAGCAGTAAGTGAGTTTTCACTGTGAAATATAACCCTGATGGAAGTATAAACAAAAAAAGCTAGATTAGTTGCAAGGGGTTTCACTCAAACCTATAGTATAGACTACCAAGAAACCTCCTCCCTTGTGGCCAAACTCAACTCAATTAAGGTATTATTATCACTTGTTGCCAATCTAGATTGGCCACTTCACCAATTGGATGTTAAAAATGCATTTCTAAATGGTGATCTAGATGAGGAAGTATACATGCAGATTCCTCTTGGTTTGAGAAATTCTGAAAACTCTCATAAAGTTTGCAGGTTGTACAAATCGCCATATGGATTAAAGTAGTCTCCAAGAGCTTGGTTTGACCGTTTCTCTCGAGCTATCAAGTCTTGGGGATACAAACAATGCCAAGCAGATGACACATTGTTTGTCAAGCATTATGGAGAAAAATTAATAGTCCTTATTGTTTATGTGGATGACATCATGTTGACAAGGAACGATGTGGAAGAAATCACTAAACTAAAGGGAAATTTGGCAGCAGAATTTGAGATTAAAGTCTTGGTCCCTTAAAATACTTCCTGGGAATGGAAGTGGCAATAACACAAAAGGGGATTAGTGTATCACAACGGAAATACACTCTAGATTTGTTAAAGGAAACAGGGATGTTGGGGGCAAGGCCTGCACACACTCCAATAGAACTAAATCAGAAGTTGACAATTAAACCAGATGGCATAGCGGTAAACAAAGAAAGATACCAGAGGTTAGTGGGCAAACTGATTTATTTGTCCCACACACGACCTAACATATGCTTTCCAATTAGTGTTGTGAGTCAATTCTCTAGTGCTCCTCAAAAGGAACACATGACAGCAGTTCACAGGATTCTTAGATACTTGAAGAAGACTCCTCGACAAGGACTATTTTTTGCAAAGAATACCATCAAAAATGTTGAATTATTCACTAATGCAGATTGGGGAGGCTCAAAGAGAGATAGAAGATCAACTACTGGGTATTGTTCTTATATGTGGGGAAATGTAGTGAGCTGGAGGAGTAAGAAGCAACCAGTAGTGTCAAGAAGTTCAGCAGAATCAAAGTACCGAGCCTTATCAATAGGAATATGTGAAGGAATGTGGATCATTCGTCTCTTGAAGGAATTGAAGATTGATCTGAATGGTCTGATTAAAGTATGGTGTGATAATATGTTAGCCCCATAAAGATCGCTAACAACCCTATTCAACATGACCGCATGAAGCATGTGAAAATTGATAGACACTTCATCAAAGAAAAAATTGAAGCTAAGGTGTTAGATCTATCTTACATTCCTTTAGGGAACCAGATTGCAGATATTATGACCAAATCCTTAACCCAAAACAAATTCGAATGACTCAGAAGAAAGCTAGGAATGATTAACATCTATTCGCTAGCTTGAGGGAGAGCGTTGGATAAGGGCCTAAGGCACCATAGGCCTATATCAAGATTAGACCTATTTTTCCCTATTTAAATAAAATCTGCCATCTGCTATTAATATCTGATTTTATCTCTTATTAGCATCTAATTTGATTTGCCAAGATTATAGGAGAGATATTAGTGATTTGTGCAGATTCTCTTCCTCTCATCTCTTCCATATATGTAAAAACTTCTTATGAATGAAAGTCAGTGCTGTTCTACCCTAATTATAACATTATGCATCATCAAGTAGATGTTTTCTGGTTAAATGAGATGTTTGGGATTGCTGGTGATTGGGCTTGTCCGCTTAGTTTGGATCAGTTTTTCCTTTTAAAGTGCAAAGGTTTTGTCGATACATAAACAAAAGAGGAAGGGGGTAACTTTGACAATTGCGTGATTTATGCAGCAATTCAGATTGTTTAGCTCAAGCAAAACACTCGTACTTTTAGCAGTATCTTATTAGTCTCTAGTGGAGCAATGGCCAAGGATACTGCTTTTAACTATTATCACTGCAAAGTTTTAGCCACCTCATTCAGTCCAAAACTTCAAAATTTAAGCCTGCGAAACTCATTAAAAAGTGGAAGGGCATACCAATAACTCCAAAAAGATTATTCAAAAAGAAAGTAGCAGGCGAGTGGTTCACAATGCATAAATAAACGGACAAATGTTTCCAAGATAGCCACAAACACAATGCCCCAATGAATAAAAAAGCATATACCTGACGGCGAAAGAACCTTAATGTATACAATATGATGCACCCGAGAGCCATTCGAACTAGGTACCAACAATAAGAGCACATTAGATTAACTCATAATAGAGAAGTAAGAAAAGAAAAATAAAGAGGTTGTTCTTTGTTTCATTCATTAAAAGAAAATAAAAAACAGGAAAGAACAGTGGGAGTAAGTTAACCAAAGATTAAACCTAACTGACCAAGAAAACAAAATGGCTCAATGTGCAATGATGGTGACAAGTATGATAAAAAGGTTACCCATTAAAAGACTGTAAAACTTCGGCAATTGCAGCAAGCTCGTAACCAACACAAATGGAGCCACAAGAAGCGACACAAACAATGCACCTAAAGAATAACAAAATCCAAAACAAAAAATAGAGGTCTAGCTTAGTAGTCACAACAAGTTGCATAGCTTCAGTAAAACTCATAGGACAATCCAATCAGAGATGAAAGAACAGATTATTCTGTTTATGATACTGAATTGAACAACACCACCCCCCCCCCAAAAAAAAAAAAATTTGCGGTTGAGAAACAAGTTTATGGGAAACCTAAATGATAAAATGGAATTCAAAGCAGGTAAATAAGATACGCATCCAAAGTTATCAGACATACAAAGATTGGTTTATTTCTTCTGAAAGGAATTTACTTTTCTTTTCTTTTCTTTTTTTTTTTTGGGTAAAAGAACGGAAGCTACTTTGCTAACAAATAAGTTCACCATTTCATGAATCATGGTAGTCTATTTTGCTTTTTTTAATAATAATAATGCGAAGCTAGGAACAGGAGCAAATTGCATAATCTCTCTAGAGTCAGATAATATAAATCTCTTTTTGTTATTACATTCAGAAACAAAGGTTTGAATCTAAGATCTACAGCTAAAAGGCCACATCTGTCACCATTTGATGAACCAGGTTGAAAACAAATCTACCATTGGACCACCCTAGTGTCTTAATATAAATCTTTCCATATAGATTATTCTTTATAATATCAAGGTAAGAAGCTTTTCGACAACAGGAAAAAAAAAAGGAAAGAAATTAGAAAGCTTACCAATGAAAGTCCGAGGAACCACCCCAGGGAATTCCAGATGATCATACTATTAATAAAACACAAAAATGAACAAATTCCAGCAAAAGCCAATTTTATATAGATTGCAGATTCATGCTGTAGATATAAGCAACTAGACTCACGTTATTCAAGTGATGCCGGTGATAGAGAATATCGTGCATAGCCTTGATGAACCCAACAAAACAAAATGAGCAAACAGGGTCAAGGCAGGATTTTACAAAGCCGAGCCAAACAGTAATAAGTTGCCCATTTAATTAAGAGTTTCAAGACAACTTTTTGCCGCCAACACGGATAAAAATCAACTGACTACACTCTGGGTACGTAAGTCAAACTGCACCATCGTAGATTGCAATATTAAAAAAGTTAAAAATAAAAAAGACCTGATTCAAATTCAAACATCAAAAATAACAGTTTGGGGTTGTCTAGAAACAGCAGGAGAACGTATAAGAACAGTCATTACAGTTTTAACGAAGAGAAAAGCTCATTGAAAAGGAACCACACCGTTGAACATAAGGCATAAGTTTTAGATATCATTCAATGCCTCCGTTTAAAGTTTATTTCATGATTAAAATACCCCGTTGCCCTCTTAGCTTGTGATCAGTACATAAATTCCACAATTCATTCACCCTCAAGAAAACAATTTATCAAAATCAAATCACCCGCACAAAGCAACTTTCTACTACACCGTTTTCAGGCAAATTAGTTCCCACCAAACAAATGCAAAGGATGGGAAGAGAGAAGAGTCGAAACGAACCTGAATATTGAAACTTTCCTCAACCTTGGTGTACGGCACCATGAGTAAATAGAAAGTAGCTATTGATCCCAACAGCAAATCATAGCCATAATGCTCCCAAAATTGAGAAGATTTTGATTTTGAAGCCATTGTACTTGCAGCGGAGAAACTGTACAGACCAGTGACTCGATACCCTGAGGCTCAACTGACGGGAACTTAATCCGCGATTCCGCGCACTCATAGTCACTGGACGATTTTTTTTTTTTTTTAAGAAAACACTATGATTCATAAATTTATTAGATTTCGCTTTTTATAAAAAATTTTAACACTGACACTGTAAAATTTGTTTAACAAACATCATTTAATTATATTAAAATTATAGGAACTATAAATATAAAAAAACTATAAAAATAATTATATGAATTAAAAATAAAGCTTAATGAAAGAGTCCAATACTTCAAATTACAGGAACTAATTTAAGAACTAATAATTATATTTTTCTATTTTTTTAATAACTTTAGTGATCGGTGTGTTTGGGCTTACAATCAGCTAAGCCCTTCATACAACCTTTTGTTTTAATTCGGCTCATTACATATTTAATAAACAACGGCCCAATTAATGGGATCAATTGCACTAAGTATGTGTCATGAATGGTAGCGGTTTGGATTAATAATAATAATAATAAAGGGGCCAATTGCGAGGGCAAAACAAATTCCTTCATTCAACTCATTTAATTAATTAATTAGAGCAATTAATAGAGCCGGTAACTTGATTAAATTGAATTTATTCAAACCAAACTTATTTAAATTAAGTTTAAAATATCTGAATGTATAAAAAGTCTATATAATCAAGCCCGACTTAATATCCTGAGGCTTTTGAATTTAAAAATGTTAAAGGTTTTTTTTTAAGTCAATTTCAATTTTTATTGAAAAGCATACTTGTAGTTTATATGAATAATTATTTTTTAACTTAAATCGTGTTACTGGCCCCAAAAAAAAAAAACTTAAATCATGTCATTGTAGTTGGTCGAGTAGTTAAAAGGTGAAGAAGGATGCAGGAAAAATATAACCCGAAAACAAAAATCTAGTTACTAGCAGAACCAAATTTTAAAATTAAATAAATCAATTAAAAAAGCATTGAGGGATAAGCAACCTGATCTTGTAAACCTACACAAATCTTTTTTTTTTTTTTGGAATTTATAGTTAAAGTATCGGAAAATTTAGAATATGTGTCAGCAGGTCTTGTAGATTGATTATTATTTTGGAGGAGGTATGTATATTTGACTAGGGAAGTATAGATGTTGGCGTGGGGAAGTTGGGGTAAGGAAAACAGTTAAATGTAAAAATTAAAAAAAAAAAAAAACAACAACAACAACAACAGAAGAAAAGGGTGTTTGGGTATCCACGCCACTTGATTAAATTTCTTTCATATTTATTCGAGTTCATGTCCATGTCTAAATTTTTTAACTATATTCAAATTTAGTCTGAATTATTGGCTCTATCCATTCAATCTGACTAAAAAAATTAGGTGAGTTAAACTAAATAAGGTTAATAATATATAGATTAAACATTTAAACTATACCTCACCCATGTGTACAGGAGAGATAAGTACATGGGTTTATGATTTGTATATAAACCAGCACCTAGCGTGATGAGTTGGCGAAGGGGAAAGGTAGAAAAAGAAGCATTAGAATAAGGCAAATTAATTGCATGTTTGATATATAAAAAAGTATTTTCTAAAAAAAAAGAAAATAGGAGCTTTTGCATAAATAGCCCATATTATAAAATCTAGTAAAAGAAATAATCTATTCTTTATTAAATTTTAAAAATGATCTTTTTAATATTTAGATTATAATTAATTTACAAAACTATCCTTTTTAATATTTGCTTTTTTCAAATACTCGAAGCTTTAAAACGCAAAAATTTCTAAAACGTGAGAGACAAATGCAAGAGAGAAGACGAAATTTGACGCGAAAGAGACAAATGAGAGATAGCAACAGTGTGAGTGAGCCACATCATGACGTTGAGAAACAAACACGAGGTGAGATACATCAATGGTACTTGATGGAACAGAGCACACCGGCAGAGAAACGAAGCTACAAATTTATGATTTTTTATTTTATTAATTTAGGTATTTGATCTTGTATGATAAGTTAAGAGTACAAAATTTTTTGTAGACTATGTTTGATCTATTTTGAGCAAATAATTATATATTTTTCATGTTACTAATCTACTATACTTCATCATTGATATATGACTGTATATCAATTATAAATAAATTTATGTTTGATTGTCTGGTTATGTTGACTACGATAGTATATATACTATTATATCTCATTGATAAATAAGTCATATCAATGAAAATTTACCAAATGATTTATCATTGATATACAAACGTATATCAATAATGGAGTTTTCTCTTCAATGTCTAATATCCTTTTCATAATATCTGGAGAAAATAAAGAGGGAGAGAGGAAAAGCTTTGCGATAAAGATAGTGATTCGGACAAATCAGACCAAAAATTCTAATAAAAAAAAGCATTGTATGAGAGATGAATATGATGATTCAAAAAAATTAAATTAAAAATTGATGAAGAAAATATTCAGAGATGATTATAAATCAACGAGGGAGCATGCACAATATGATTTTTGATGATAAAAGTGAAAGATCCAATCAATTAAAAATTGGTTAAATCAAATATATTCTATTTTAATAATAAATTTATTTTGAGAATTAAAAAATATTTAATTAATTTTATGAATGGGTCATATTTTAAAATATTCAAAAATCTCATCAATAATTTATGAGAGTTATATTTTTCAAAGTCATTAAGTTAATTTTCTCAAAAAAAATATATCATAAAAAAAATGATATAAGCGTATTTCTCATTTCCTTTATAAACAACACCTTTTCATAAACTTTATTTGCACTAAACGACAAACACCACAATCCCTCCTCATATTGAGCTCGGTAAACATGCGCACTTACTCATCATATGTCCATAATATGTTCATTTTCTTTGTAGTATAAAATTTAAAGCTTGGTTTTGATAGAGAGAAAAGTAAAAAGAAAATAATAAAGAGGGAAAACTATTAGAAAATTTTTTCAAAAAATTGCTATTTCAATTTTGAGGATTTTTTCTCCTAATTTTCTTTCCTCCTTATTTTTCCTCATCCAAATGAAGAGTTAGGCTTGGTTTGGATGGAGGGAAAAGTGAAGAAAAAAAATAGGGAGAAGAGAAAATTATTAGGATGAGAAATTTCCCAAAAAAAAAAGGAGTAATTTTTCCACTATTTTTAGAATTTTTTTCTTCCAATTTTCATTTACCTCTATTTTTCTTTCAATCCTGCCGCAGGATGAGTCACATGAATATTGCAATTCTAGACTGAGGTGTCTTTGGGCTGACCATAAGGTCCACAAAGATACGGCAATACAAAAAAATACTTAAGCCTTATTTGGTATAAGGTATTAAATTTTATGAGATTGGGATTGGGATTGGGACTGAAATTGGAGCTGGGATTGGGATTAGAAACAAGTTTTAAAATTATGTTTGGTATAACATGGGATTAAAAAAAAAGACTCAAGTTTAACCCAAAAAATAGCTAAAAGACAATATTGCCCTCATCTCCATCATCATCCTCTCTCTTTCAAAAACCCTCACCTCTATCGTTCAATCTCCATCCTCTTCCACCGTCCTCAACGTCATTGGCGTGGTAGGGCAAGCACATTGCCATCGTTGGGAGGTCCAGAATGAGATTCTTGCCTTTCCTCTGTTTCACGCTACCAATCGTTCGTCCTTGCCAATTGCTATTAAGCTCGTTCTTCTATCATCGTTGTTGCTGGAGTCACTGTTGTCTACCGCTGCAAGGAGTTTTGTTCAGGTCATGAACTCTCCTATCTCTACGTTGCTGTCGATCCGTGCCCTCCCTGTCTCTGCGTTGTGGCAGTTCTCTTCCATCGTCATTGTGGCAGTTCTCTTCCATCGTCTTCAGTCACTGTCGTCTCTGCGTTGGAAGGTCGAGGATGATGGAGGAGATCTGTGTGCGATGATGGAGGAGTAAGCTGACTGGGCAGGTTTTTTATGAGGGCATTTTAGTCATGAAAATTTCAATCCCAAGATTGAAATTGCAGTACTAGGGGAGAGGTGGTATTGGGTATTCCTTCCAAGATGGGATTGGGTTTGGAAATAAATTTATCATTACCACCTACCAAACATAAAAGCTTGGTATTACGCAATCCCAAACCCAGTCCCACTTAACTAGTGCTGCGTACCAAACGAGCCCTTACTCTCCCAAAAAAAAGGTAAAAGAGTCTGACTCCTGCATCCAATGACTAAAATTAAGCATCTAACAAACCTGTCAAGCATGCATGTCCCAAACGTCTTCATCATATTACATAATAACCTGGAAAAAATAAACATAAACATGATGAGTTGGCCAGTTAGGTGAATGTATTTCAAAATTTAATGACTACATAAATAACAAAACATGGATATTACAAAAGAGGGTATACCCAGCGGCACAATAAGTATTAAATGCCAATAATAAAAGGACTAAGGATTATTTTTTATCCTCAAATTTGCTCGAAAGATCACAACGCACTCTAAAGTTAATTATGGATTAATTATATCTCTCAATATTAAAGATTTCCTCCATCATCAACCAATCATAAAAAAAGTTAAGCATCAGTTTGTCATCAATGGGTCCCATCATTTTTTTAATATTATATTATTATTTTTTATTAGATTAATGATTATTTTTGCCCCTCAAGTTTTATTTAAAGGATCAATGAGCACCCTCAGTTCAAATATTTTATAATAAAAAATATTAAAAAAATGTAATGTGAGGGAGGCCTACTAACAATGAAGAGATTGAGAAAATGGTAGAGTAATGAGAAAAGGAATCTATAATATTAAGAGATAGAATTGACTCATAATTGAATTAGGATATCCAAACATATCTCTATTCATCACTTGTTACACAATAATAATCAAATAATTAACTTGCTACAGTGTAGAAGTGCTTCAGGAATGCAATTGGAATTTAAGAAAAATAAAATCATAATTAGGAACAAAAATGTTTGTCGTTTGTATGTGTGGCGTATGTTTCCTTCTTATCCTTTATAGAAGCATGTGAAAATTGAACCTGATAAGGTATTATCTCCAGCCCAAAAACTGTTCGTGCGAAAATTGTTTCTGATATTTACAGTTCTAAGTTTGCTGATGATTTTCGCTCTTAATCCATACGAAATAAAAGTAAAAACAAAATATAGAACAACTGGATGAAGAAAATAGTGGTTAAAGGAGGTGCGAGGTGCTGTTGAGCTACGACATCTCGTTAAACAAAATTGTATAGACAGAATTTAGTACTTAAACTTTCATATTCAGAAATACATGTTAATTAAAAAGTTAAACGATAAATTAACTCTTAAACTATAAGTTTAGAGTGTTTGAAACTTTAAAGTCATTTTTCGTATAATATTTTCTTTAAACTTTTGAGAACAGTATAATATTTTCCTTACTATTAACAAACGGTAACTTTAATTATTAGTGACCAATAAAATTATAGAAAATGAACTAAAGAATTACAAATAAAAAAATGATTGGTCTTTTCTATAATTTTTTGTATTCTTGTCTTTAATTTTAGATCATTTTTGTTATTTTTTATGTCATTTTTTTATAATTTTCTAATTAGATAACGGTCAAAAATTTGGAATCAACTTTGTTAATAATAAGGGTGACATTACACTGTTTTTTAAAGTTGAAGGGAATTTACACTAAAAATGAGTTTATGAATGTCCTAGATATACTTTTAAACTTATAATTTAAAAGTAAAATTGTCCTTTATCCTTAAATTAAATTTACCCTCACTCAACAAGCATGCACCAAGTGAAAAATAATTTTGGCATCAAGTAAAATTAGGCAGTTTAAGAATTTTGATGCTTTAAATTAATTAGTACCTTTAAAAATTCTAGCCTTCACTTCAAGGATCCCATAGCCCTTCAAGGTCATTCAAGACCGTAAAGACGTAAATTCGGTCATTCATATTACTGAGGAACCGAAGAAAGGCATGTGTCCATCTTGGAACGAAGAAAAGAACGAGACATGCTCCCCAAAACCCATAAGCAAATCCAATTGCCACGCCCACATGGAACCACTTTGCAAATTCATCATCACTGCCTTTTTTGCTGTGCTGTTTCTTCTCATTGGGTATTTCATCTTGTGAATTATTGGGGAGTTCATCTTGTGAATTGCTAAGGTTAAAACTTGACGAACAACTCTTTTGAAGAGGACCTCCACAAAAATAAGGATTGCCCGAATAACTACTGTTATCAAAAGTTGAAAACTGGTTGCGAATTGGAATTTCTCCGCTCATATTATTATAGGACAAGTTCAATACCGCTAGAAAGTATAGCCTAACCATGCTCTGAGGAATTTCACCACTTAACTGGTTTACTGAAAGGTCAAGACTCTCTAAATTTTGCATACTTCCAATGTCTTTTGGTATGCTCTCTGTCAAAAGATTGTGGGATAAATTTAAATAACCCAAAGAAACCAAGCTAAATATTTCTGGAGGAATTGATGATGAAAGGTTATTCATTGAGAGGTCAACAATGTGGATATAAGTAAGAACATTGCGCCAATATTCAATTTCATAACCATTGAAATGCAAAGGTAGATATTCCTCGTAGTTTCTTATAGAATAGGGAGAAATCCCTCTTCCGTTATAATATTAATTCCCAACCAAGAGTTTACTTACAGCAAAGATAGCATACGAAGACATTGCAGTAATATTACCCTAGCATTTCGGAATTGAACCTGAAAGGCTGTTATAAGCAAGGTCTAACACTTGAAGATTTGAAAGTTGACAAATCTCTGATGGAATATTGCCACTAAAATTATCAAAACAATTATCTTCAAATGCTTTTTCAAATGAGCCCAACAATTACGAAGCTCCCTAGATAAAACATTGTTTGCCATTCCTAAAACCCTCAACTTCATTGTATTCCCCATCACAGTTTGACATAAGAACAGAGAAATAGATCCTGATAAGGAATTATCTCCAGAAAAAAAATCGCAATTTTGAGAGTTGCCCAAGAGATTTTGGAAGGCTTCCACTTAGTTTATTGTGTCCAACATCCATATATGCCAATGATGATAGATTTCCCGGGGTTTCAGGAATTGGACCAGAAAATGAATTGCATGAAAGATCTAGATGCTCTAATTCTTTGTATTCTCCCACCCAATCTGGAATAGATCCATTGAAATTGTTGTGACCCAAGAGTAAGGATTTCAGATGTTGAAAATTTGACATTTCTTTAGGCACTTGACCTCTAAAATTATTGAAGCTAAGGTCTAAAGAATAAATGCTATTACTGAGATTAAATAGCCATTTGGGTACCTCAGGAAGAAAATCATTGTCAGAAATATCAAGTACCTCGAGGGAAGTAAAATTGACATACCCAAGATGTGGCTGAATATCATTCAGGAAACAATAACTTAGCCGTAACTCCACAAGTGAAGGGCTCATTATAATCCGTTGAAGCCAATGAGTTTCCTCAGAGAGATCAGCATAGCTGAGGTCAAGATTATTCAGAAAAGATAACTGTGAAACCCATCTAAGATCATCGATTTGGAGGTCAAAATTATATGATAAGTCAAGGAAACGAAGATTGGAGAAGTTTGTGCTATTGTGGAGAGTAATGTTTGACATGTTGTGAGATCTTTGATTGCTGGAATAATAACCATGAAGTGGTGGAATATGAATAGCATTGAAGTTATTATCATGCAAATCCAAGAAGCTGAGGAATTCAAGTTCCAGTACAGACAAGTTTATGTTGTATGTGTGTCAAAAGTGTGTGTGTGTGTCAAAGTCCCACATTGACATTGACTAAGGAATGAAGTAAGCTAGTAAAATGGGCTTGGAGGAGAAGTGGTTTACAAAAAATGGTTAAATAAATAATTATTTTTGCTTACCTGAAAAACCTCTGATTTAGCTGTTTTCAAGTTGAACTTGAGGCGTTGGCAGTTTTGTCTACTATGATTAAGGTAAGATAATTCATTAAATCTTGTTGATCAGGGTAACAATTGCAGTATGTGTAATTGTTATCCGGGCGGTAACAATACGTATACTTTGGCTTTCATTATCATGTATTATATTTTAACTCAATTAAAATTGCACACGCTAATAAGTGTTGATTTTTCATGCAGTATGTGTAATTGAGTGTGATTTCTTTAAAATCATGTGAAATTTATAGTCTATCTTGCTGATATAAAGAAAAAAGTTACCTTTTATATATATATATATATATATTATCAATTATAGTTCTTAAAATTGAGCACTTTTTTAACTTATACAGAACAACAGTTGTCAATTCGACTATAAATTAATATTTTCGTAAGACTTATCATGTTGATAATTGTAATTGTAAATAAGTCTTACGACTTTGTAAAAATACTCTCAAATCTTAATTTTGAGACTTTGTTGTAATTAATTTACTTAGACTCACACCCTTTTGAATATTGTTGACTGGTGCCTAGCAGCTGTTGATTGGTCATCGGCCAGCGTGACTGATCAAAACTGATGTTTTTTTGAAAAATTATTTTTGTTATATTATTTATAGTTTAATATTTATAAGTAAATCTTAGAAATTTATTACTCAAACTTCTTACATTTAAGAGTCAACTTCTTATAACATTAATAAATTAATATTTACGAGTCAACTTCACATATATTATAAGTTAAACATTTTAAATTTAGAAAGAAGTTTCTAAAAACAAAATTAATAATTTAACACTAACAAGGTCAATATCTTAAATTTGAGTCCACATGGTAGATTTAAAAGTGAATTTACATAATCTTTTGCAATGATAGGATAAAAAGGCAATTTAAACTATAAGCTCAGGAGTATCTGATCTTCTAAACATGTTTTTGATGCATTTTCACCCTTAAAAATTTAAAAGCATGGCAATTTCCTTTTCACTGTTAACTTTAACTATTAATTAATTAAAAAATTATAGAAAAAGACCAACAGAATCTCAGGAAATGACCTCAAAAATTACAAATTTAATTTTTATTTGATCCTTTTATGTGATTTGTTCGTCCTTTTTTCATAATTTTTGAAGTTTTTTTTTATAATTTTTTATTTAACTAACAATTAAAGTTAATAGCGGAGGAGTATTGCCATGATTTTTAATGTTCAGGAGTGAAAATTCACCAAAAATAAGTTTAGGGTTCCAAAATGCTCCTTAGCCTATAGTTTAAGAACTAGATTGCCATTTCACCGACAATAAAATTCAAATTTTATAAATTGATTTACAAGTCATTTTTTTTTAAATTTATAGGTCAAACCTAAAAATTTTGCAAGGTAAAAACACTTAGTTTACTTGTAAATTTAATAGAATTATTTGAAAATTTTGTGAAATAATTTATAAAATTTAAAGAATCAATGCAAAAATTATATAAAATCATTTGTAAATCTATGTTGTTGGCATATAATTTAAGAGATTGAATTAAAAATATTAAAATTTTATTTTTAAAGAATTACTCTTAAATTTATGGCTAAATGGCAATTTGGATCTTGAACTATAGATTAAAGTGTGATTTGAACTCTAAACTTTTATTGGGTATATTTTAAACTCTAAATAATTAAACTTTGAGCAATTTCCCTATCGTTAATATGAGTTAAATATCCGTTACAATTTAAATAATGGGCCCCTCATCACCGTTACAATTTAAATAGAGCAAATGGAATAAACTAAATCACATTTCATTGATATATAAAGGATTACAACCAAGTTAGTTCAACATCAATGAAAATGCAAGAGTACATAGCTGTCATGACACAACAAGAAGAAAGAAATCATATGGTTTCCCTTACTCAAGATTACAATTGAATTACAAAGGAACTTCTAACCACAAGAGATAATCCAAAAGCAGAGAGAAAAAAAGAAAAATGATAATTAGGGACCATATAAGAACATTAATGGTAACTATGAACTTTAAATTATTGAAATCTCAATAATAAATCATAGTCCTTACTTGTAATTAAAAAGAAATGCAAATAGTTAGTTGAAAAATTAACAATTAAAATTTATGAGAGTTGATTGTGAAAAATTTTAATCTTTTGCAGTCAATATAAAAATAAACCTTTTGAAAAATCAAGAAAATACATTTAGGATTGTTTATAAAGTTAGTTGAGAATTTATAAAAGTCAATCATTGTGAATCACAAATCAATTACTAATAATTTTTTTATTATAAATATATAGATAAATTATTTGAAAAATCAACTAAATATATTTAAAATTGTTCATAACGCCAATTAAAAATATATAAGAATCAACTGTAAATTGTAAGTCAATCATTTGTTATTTTTACTATCACTTAAAAAGTTAATAAAAGATGTCTAAGAATTCTTTTGACATTAGCTGAGAATGTATAAAAGTTCATTATGAAATTCAAACTAATAAATAAAAGATAATTTATTATAAATAATGAGAATTTATAATTATAATTAATATTCTTGGAATCCCTAGCTGTCATTGTCCCAAGAAAAACAAAAGACTCCAGTAACATTCCATTTGTCAAAGTCCATATTTGCTTCTCCAATGGGTCGTACACGCTATTCCAATAACAGCACGACACATATGGATGCCTTTGCCCGCAATTTCGTACTTTTCTACTAGATGGTTATACGGCAAAGCTATCTGCGCGCGCGCGCGCACATATATATATATATATATATAATTTTTTTTTTGGGCCAAAATCTACTTGCAAACTTTGATGATTGGAAAATGATAAAGATACAGGAAACTACATAAAATTCTTTACGAGGATTAAGGTAAGATAACTCATTTATTAAATCTTGCTGCTCAGGGTAAAAATAAGTATATTTTTTCTTTCATTATCATGTATTACTTTTTTAATCTCATTTACAAGTCACCTTCAATATATTTTACTAAAACTAAAAAAAATTTAAAACCTCATTAAATTTGTCTTAAAATTTAATAAATTTCATATTTATCTCTAATGAATATTCTTAAATTTCATTACTATTATTTTTATTTAAAGCATTTAGTAAGGGCAAAAATATAAAGAGAAACATTAAAAATTAACAAGTATTTTATAAATAGGGCCAAATTTTTTTTTCTCTCTCTACTCTATAAATAGAATCGAAGGATTATATTTTAAGCCAATTAAAATTTTTATTCATTAGCACCTATGAATAAGCTATGATTTTACATGCAGTATGTGTAACTGTGATTTCATTAAATTTATGTGAAATTTATAGTCTAGATACCTTACATATATTGCTGGTAAAAGAAAAAAGTTGCGTTATATATATACATATATACACGAATTTGTAAGAAAATTATAATGTCTTATGAGACTACTTCATTATAACTAATTTACCATGTGTAAAATAACAAAACAAATATTCTTGGACTTACATCTTTTGATTGCTGTTAACTGATGATTGGTAGCCGTTGACTGGTCACTGGCCAACATAATTAGTCAAAAATAAGTTTTTTCAAAAAATTATTTTTTAATATTAAAAATTTACAATTTAAACTTCTTATTTTTAAGAGCCAACCTATTATAATATTATTAAATTAATATCTACGAGTCAACTTTACATATTTACAAATTAAATATCTTAAATTTATTGAATGTCAACATGGTTGATTTAAAATTAAATTTATATAATTGTTACAATAATATTCAATTTTTACAAATTGATTTATGAGTCAATTTTTTAAATGGGTGAAAGAGCAAATTGACTCATAAATTTTTGATCCATGAGTGTTTGGGGCCCTACTTATTTTTTTGTATGATGTTCTCTTCAACTTTGAACTTAATTGATCAGGGAAAAAATTTCAAAAATTATTACAAAAATGGGCTAAAACATTATAATAAAGGACCTAAAAAATACATACAATAACCCAAAAAATTACAAAAAAATGACCAAAAAAGTTTTTTGGTCTTATTTTGTAATTTTTGATGTCTTTTATTATTTTCTTGTCAACTAAATTAAAATTAACTTTTGTTAACTATAAGGGTTATACTGCACCATTTTTAGAAGTGAAAGAAAAATATTGCACAAAAAATAATACGTTTAGAGTCTTGGAAACTCCTATTCCAATATTTTATTATATCAATTTCCTTTTTTTGATTTTTAAAATTTGTTGGCCAAACCTAGAAATTCACAACTTAATAAGGTAAAAACAATTAGTCTACTTGTAATAATCATATATACAATAGTATGATAACAGGCTACTCAATTATTCACATCAAGTGTCCCTTTTTGAATATTTCAAATTTGGCCACACATCCCTTTTTCGAAACATACATTTAATAAATACCTTTTTAAAAAAATGTAATGTATAATCTATAATAAATTCTAAATGTGCCGGTAAGAAAAAAACAGGGGGAATAGCATGAAGGGCCTTAAAAATAGAGTTTATTGCATTTAAGGCCTAAATCATTTTGAAATTGTTCTGCATGCCTTAGGGCCCTAATTGTAATATTTTTTCAGAGCAAAAATACTATTTTGCCCTTAATAGAAAGAAATGAAATTGAATGCAGAAGGAGGATGATAAACAGGGGAATGATTTCAAGACTTACCAGATGATTCGCAAGATGGAGGTATTAACAACTAAAGTTATTCAGTAGTGCTTCTAATGATTTTAAGATCTTAGCTGGAGGTTTTTAGGTTTCTCATGTTCTTACTGTAGAAAAGAGCTAAAATTTTTATTGTTCTTGCTGAAAAAATGAGTAACATTCATTTTTGCAGTAGAAA